GGGCTCTACGATCTACGAAGTACGATTTAAAAAAAAACTGTCTGACTAGTGACTCTGAATTTAGCAGTAGGAAGTCACTAATCAGCCAGTTTTTTTTTCATATCATCTATGCAATCTATTAGCTTTGTGAAGTGGTGCGTTTAGTCAGAATTATAGAGCTGATCCTTGCGGCACTCAATACTGAACTTGTGATCGACATGATACCTCTGCGTTTACGGCTACAAAGTGATAACAGTCAGAGAAGTACGATTTAAACCATTTCAATGCAATTCAATTATGCTAACATAACTTTTAAGCCTATGCAAGAGAATGTTGTGGTCAATAGTATCAAAGGCAGCACTAAGGTTGACTAGTACTAATAGAGAGATGCAACCATGATGAGATAAGAGAGTAGTTTCAGTGATATGAATTCTAAAAATAAATAAATAAATAAAATTAAAGTTTTGTCAGAAAAGGGAGATTTGGGATCAGTCTGTAATTAACTAGCTTTCCTTTTTAATGAGAGGCAGCCAGCTTCATTGTTTTTGGGACATGCTCTAATGACAATGATGAATGAATACAATTTTGTAAGTAAATTAATTCATAAAATCATTACTGATGTGGTGTTGGGGTTTTTGTTATAGACAAATAAGCAGGCCTAGCAGTTTTTAGGCCTTTCTGTAGATAGAAACACTATCCTTCCACACAATGCAAAATACCTCTAGTTTAGTTTTCTGCCATCTACAGTATACTCCATATTCCAGGCTGCTCTCTTAAAGGCCTGAGACTGTTCATTATACCACAGTATTGTGCTGTTAATCTTCCTTAAGTGCAAAGGATATCTAGGGTATGTGATATCTGATATCTGGAATTTAGTATGTATAAAAATAATCAATGAGGGTGTTAAAATCACCTACAATTAAACTAATTCAATGCGCCTTCATGGCCTCGATACAGCAGCCAGTGCAAATGTAAAAATGTCATCATTTATATAAGATATTGTTTGTAACAAAGTTCATGTTTAGGGAAGAAGGAGATGGGAACCGGTAAACGTTTAACATAATTTTTAATTACAAAATAAACAATCAAAATTAAAATAAGCTTCAGCCTCTTAAGGACTACTGTCACATAAACATAAACAAAACAGCAACTAAAATGACCCAGGCCTGGTCCTCTCTCGTCCTTCACTGTCATCATCCTTTTATCCTTCTGGAGCTCCTCCATGGGACTCGAGAGCAGTGTGTGCACTTCACGTTGTGCCTAAGAACATCCTTCAGTCGTGACTTACATATACAATAAACAATTCATAATTAAAGACATTGTTATCAACCATCGCAAAATAAGAATAGGGTTTCCAGAGTATCTTTACCATGGTTAAGAAGACATTTTATGAACATCCGTTCCTCAAGCATCCCATCCAAATACTGCTGCTCCTGAATAGTTAACAGGAGCTCCATTTGCAATACCTGTACTATCAGCATTAGTGATTTTAAGGCACAAAACATCAAAGTGTTGATTAGGTTAAAATAATACTCCTGTTCCTGCAAAGAACTCCAAACTGCAATCATAATACACGTGATTCTAATTTGCTTCATTCTGATCTAGTCAGTTAGCAGTTCATGGTTGGTTAAACATGAATCAGCAGTCAGAGAAAAATAAATAATAAAATGAACAGCCCAACTTGTTAAGTGGCCGTCACGTGCCAAAAGTATGAATGACTCCAAACAGAAGACTCAGGAGTTGAACTAATAATTCCGGTTCATAGCCAGTGCAGTGTCATGTGACAAAAATAATCAATGACTGGCTCAGGATGGCCCACAGCTGTGCAGCAAGACTTTAATCATTTCTTATAATTTGGCTCCAACAGACCCCTCACCCAACAACAAAACTAGGTGCCAAGGTGTCTATGAACTACCCCCTAAACCACAAATAATACCCATATACAGAACGAGCCTCTGGCTACCAAAGATAAATCATCAAAATAAGACTGTTTTACAACCCAAAATAATTTAGAGGGAGTTTCCCTCTCACTTTATTCACTAGTGAAACAGACATGATGCCCATACAAAAAGACTTCTCTCCATTATTTCAAAGGCAAACCTTTCTACGGATGAACATATATATCCCCAGGACGTTGTGTATTGTTACTGGTTTGTATATTGTCTTTTGATTTGTATTCTGGTTATGCATGCCTTATGATAGAATTATTAGACAATGTTACATTATTTGTACAATGTTTTATGTCAGAATATATCTTGTGTAAGTCTGTACACATTGGTGTATATCACTTCCTCGTCACTGCACACTTATATTCATTTGATTATAAATTGCCAAAAGAAAAAAAACAAAAACAAAAAAAACCTGGCTGCCCACTCTGATCATGCAAATGAGTCAGCTTCCTAACAAAGAAACATTTTCCTGCTCGAAATTACACCTTTGGCATTGGTTAAGCCAAACTCAAGAGGTGTGACCAATGCAGAAGATAAAAGCCACTATCTCCAGACCCCAAGTGGAGGAAGAAGTTAGAGAGAAGTAGAGATATTCGGTCAGACCGCAAAACACCAAACACCCATGTTGCAAACCTTCCACTCGAGGACTCTCCTGACAACAGAATGATATTTATGAAGTTTGTCATTCTCCCCTCAACTTGATCGCAACTTCACCACCAGCAGCACTTCAAGCACATCTCAACACAGTAAACATAAGTATAAAATTACACTGGATGTACAGAATAGATGATTGATATATATATATATATATATATATATATATATAAAAATGTGTGTGTAGTCCCCTCCTGCTTCAAATGTTCCACCATCATGCCTGTCCCCAAGAAACCAAAAATCACAGGACTTAATGACTACAGAACTGTTGCTTTAATATCTGTGGTCATGAAGTCATTTGAGAGACTGGTGTTGGCCTACTTGAAGGACATTACTGCATCCTTGCTGGACCCGAGCTGCTTACTGAGCAAACAGGTCTGTGGATGATGCAGTCAATATGGGATTGCAATAA